TTGAAATTGTAGTTGCCTTTGTGAGAGTGGGCATCAATCAGAGGTGATGAGATCAGGACCAAGGCCACTTTTTTTAAAAACAAAACAAAAAACCTTGTCATATGCTTAGTTGATTTTTTTTAAAGCTATATACATGTATTTTATATGTTGTTGTTGTTATGTGCCATAGAGTCGGTTCTGACCCATAGCGACCCTGTATAGGGTTTCCGAGGGTGTAAATCTTTACGGGAGTAGAAAGCCTCATCTTTCGCCCATGGAGCAGCTGGTAGTTTCGAACCGCTGACCTTAAGGTTCGCAGCCCGATTCGTAACCACTACGCTACATAGCTTTATTTTATTTTTAAATGTTTTAAGAAGAATGAAGAACATTAAAAAGTGTATAAGAATTGATTGTCCTTTGGAGGGCATTTGTTACCTTGGTGAATTCATCACCATTCTGGATCTAGACATCAACTCACAAAACAGAGTTGTTAGTTCTAAAAGCAGCAACATCTTTGTGGAGCAGACACATATTAAACAGGCTCATGAGACGGATATTTCAAATCAGATGCCAATTCATTAATTTATAAAGGGAAACAAGGCTTTGAAGCTGAGTGGATCTTGCTATTCGCTGATGAGTGCATTCTATCCCTGTGGGCAGATCAACAGGGGGAATAGAATGGTTTTCAGCAAATTGCTTGGTAATCCAGTACATGAGCGCTGTGGGTAGTGGGGCAAATTGAGCAGTTCCAATGACTAATGCTTTCATCCCCACTGTTCCTAGCCCAACAATTTTATCCCCAGACAGTTCCAGGATGGACACTATTGGTGAATGCTTTGGCAACCCTCCTTGGCCTCTGTCCCTTGCTTCCTGACTGACACCTCCTTTCTTTAGCTGCATTAACACTTTCAATCAAAAAAATACTTTATAGTCTAAATTGAGCATGATGGTTATTCTGCCTCCATCATGTAGGGTGGTATGTCTCTACCGTAAGGCATTAGAGATTTGTGTTCAGTCAAACAGGTAACACATTTGCAATGTACGCATGATGTGCTGGGTTCTGTTCTAAACCCTGAGGTTACAGTAGTGAACAAGACTGACTTTTATCCCTTCTCTCATGAACTTTATAGTCTGGTGAGGAAGACAGATATTAAATAATTTAAATAACTGAAAGTGTGCAAAATAAAGATAATTATATATTTTTTCCTAGGTTTTGACTGGGGGAGGGTACCTCCTAGTTATTCTGAGATATCACCTATAGCAATAAAACTAAAGCAGGGTGGTGCTGATTGAGGGCTTTAGTCTAGCAAGAAGTAGTCCCATTTTCCAAGCATAGAATCCCAGCCTCCTGTTAAATACCCAATACTCTTTCAATAAAGTGATTTTCTGCTCCAATTTATCTAGGGCTGGTTTCTGTAAGCAAAAGCTCTGCCAAAACAATTTCAGGCATCTGTAGATCAGAGGCTCATTCAACCACCAAAAGGCAGTTCCAATCCCTCTGCTTTAGGGCTGGGACCAAAACTGGAACTTTTCCGATCTGTGCCTTGGGTTTAGCACAAAGCAGGGGATCACAGGGAGTCTCAATAATATTAGGTTGACTGAATCATTCGCAAGCCAATTAACAAATATCTGCCAGAAGCTGTTCCTAGGTGCTGAGAATACAAAGCAAGAAAGAGTTACTTCCTGCCTTCAAGGACTTGGGCCTTAGATCCAACAAGTCCAAAACTAAGGGTATCAGCATCCCTGCACGTTCTCCCAAATGTATATCAACACATATTTTGTGTCTGTGTTCCATTAAACTACTTGCATTTCTCATTTCCCTCTGCTGGAATGCCAATAGTGAGTAATTTGGTTTTCTTAGTTAAACCACTGGAGTGGGAGGGAAAGAGAGAGACAATCAGGCCAGGAAGATAGGAGCTGGGGTCCAGGTGTGGCGCTGTAGGATAAGCACTGAACCGGAAGGTCAACTTTAGCCACAAGGTCAGTTCAAACTCACTAGCCGCTCCTTAGAAACGCTGTACAAGGTTGTTAAGCGCTCGCTGTACAAGGTTGTTAAGCGCTGGAATCAACTCGACAGCACTTAACAAGACAGGAGCTAGCCGTTGAACTCAAGTTGAAGCATCTAAATGTAATGGTCGCTGTTCCAAATTACTCTCCTCTATCTCAGACTGTCTTTGTAGTGTAGTAGCTTTTCCTCTTTCACTAATGGTAGTTTGCATAGAAGATGGCACAAAGGGCTGATACTCCGAATGTTCTTGGTCTTGGCCTGAAATGCAAATCTAATAGTGTTCCCAATTTACAGATGTGCAAAGCAAGGCTTCAAATGACTTAGCTCCATAATTAGCAATACCTTGGATGAAATTTCCAGATTCCAAATTCCCATTCCCTTTCACCTACTAGAAGAGTGTTTTGTGTGGGCTAGGGAAGGAGGAAGGTTTAAGTCCTGGAATGGGGGGGGGGGTTACCCCTCTCCATTAGGAGTAATCTCCTAATGCGGTTTGTCTCTCCTAGCCTAGTTACCCTTCTCGGAATGCTCTATTTTAAAGCCTCACAACAACTCTGTGAGGTACGTATTATCATCCTTTCATTTTATATATGAAACTGAGCCTCAGCGAGATTAAGTTTTCGGATCCAAAGCCCGGAACCGACCGTCACTATTTCGCTTGCCTGCGGTCCAGGTTTGGTCCACAGCGCGAAAGAAACCCGGTGTTGAAGCGGTTGTCGGCACTCAGCCGGCATTTAAGGCTGAGGATCGCCAGGTGGCGGTAGTGAAGGTGTAACCGCCCTGCTGCGGGCTAGTCGCGGGCTAGTCGCACCTGAACCGAACGGGGCGCGCCCCGAGCGGGGTGGGGAGCAGCCCTATTCCTCAACCCATAATAGGCTAGGGGCTTTATTTTAGCCTGATGGGGACCGCTGGGGCTTCGTTAAAGAACCACGCTTCCACTAGGCGACCGCCGGGATACGTTAGCTAGCCGCCTGATTTGTGCTTCCCAGTTAGCAATGAATTTGGGGGTGCAGGGGCATGTTGAGCGAGGCTAGGAGGGGTGTGGCTGGGACACCGCCACCGCCACCCCCACCTGTCGGCTGTAGGGAGGGGCGGGGTAATGGGCGGGGCTTGTTCGGTAGGGCCCGCCTCCTGCCCCCCCTCCAAGCCCCCCCTCCTTGAGGACGACCAGATATAAGGCGGCCGGGAAACAATGCTCCTGAGCTCTAGCTCCCGCGCTGATCCTGAGAGTATCCTGGCTGCCGTGCGCGAGGCGCGTGCTCTAGAGTGAGGGGCACGCGCTACTCGGTGGCGCGCTTGTACTGTGTGCTGACTGCTGGGCAGCCCCTAGCCGACGGGGAGTCGCTTCGCTCCTAGTGGCTGGCGGTTGAAGCGAGGTGAGGCGGCGGGCGGCCGGGAGACGGGTCCGGGGCGGGGTGGGAGACTGGCTGCGTTCTGGACACAGTGCGCCCCCGCCCGGCCCGGTCGGGCCCTGGGAGCTGCGCTCCGGGCGGCGCTGGCAAAGTTTGCTTTGAACTCGTTCCCCAAAGCCTGCTCCGCCGCTTTGAGAGGCTTCCCTGGGCGCGCTGACCCGGGATCTGGCTTCTCGAGACACCAGGGTAGGGCGCGGGCTACAAGCTGGTGGGGCTGGGGCAGGACGGGAGTCCAGCGCCCAGCCGTGCGGAGGGAGCTGGGGTCGTCCCCCAGCCCCGTCCCGCACCCTGTTTAGCACATTTCCCTCTTCTCTCCCGCAGGAGAGCGGACATGGACTTGGACTCGTACCAGCACTATTTCTACGACTATGACTGCGGGGAGGATTTCTACCGCTCTACGGCACCCAGCGAGGACATCTGGAAGAAATTCGAGCTGGTGCCATCGCCCCCCATGTCGCCGCTCTGGGGCTTGGATCCCAGCGCTGGGGACCCGGCCCTTGGGATTAATTCCCTGGATCCGTGGCCCGGAGGAGGAACTGGAGATGAGGCGGAATCCCGGGGCCACTCGAAAGGTTGGGGCAGGAACTACGCTTCCATCATCCGCCGTGACTGCATGTGGAGTGGTTTCTCCGCCAGGGAACGCCTGGAGAAAGCGGTGAGCGACAGACTGGCCGCTAGCGCGTCCCGCGGAAACCCATCCAGGGCGCCGGCTGCCCCGGACTGCGCTCCCAGCCTTGAAGCCGCAGTCAACCCGGCGCCCGCCCCATCATGTCCGCAGAGCGAGCCCAAGACTCAGGCCTGCTCAGGGTCTGAGAGCCCTAGCGACTCTGGTAAGGATCACCTTGGGTCACTTAAGAGGGTGGGAACCCATGGGGGGCCAAAGTTCTACCACTCTCTGAGGTCAAGCAGGCACTAGGCTTTGGCAAGCCCTTCACCCACCTCCCCCTCTCTAGCTGGAACTGCTGGTGTAGCCCCCAGCAGTGTCTGTCTGGCACGTGGGTGTGTTGGTAAACAGTTTGGATAAGTGGCATGGAGTCAGCGTCCTTTTGATGATGGTAAGAGCCCCAGGGGACAAGGGAGAAAGGGATGGCACTTGCAGAGGACTATCACTGGGGTTGGACTGGAGGCGATTTCTGTCCTGGGGAGACTGGAACTGGGGTCCCTTAAGGGTCACTAAACTTGAAGCAATTTATGGCTTCCTCTTTCTCTGAGAAACGCTGACTCCCCTAGGGAGAAAGGAAGCTGAGGAACCTTTTTTGCAAAGCTGAAACCTTTAAAAAATTCAGATCTCTAGCCCACTTTATTATTAAAATGTTTATAATGCCCTTCCATTGCCATGCCCACCTCTTAACCGCTGTGCATCCTCATAGGACTGGTAGGGGAGAATGAGCGCTCCTCATTAACAGATGGAAAAACTGAGGCTTAGAGATAGCAATCACTAGACCTGAGCTCCAACTTCCTGCCATCTTTACAGCATTCTTTCCCCAATCCCAACCAGGCACCTTGATTTTTAGATAGCCTTGTTGCTTTAGCCTGAGGGTAAAAGGTATTCCAACTCTCCTCACTCATTCCAGAGCTTTATTTGCTTGCTGGCCTTTAACAAATGTTCTCTAGCCTACTTTGGGGCCATGCTCTGAGCTAGTTGCTGAGGCCATGGTCATGGAGTCCCAGCCCCCTGTCCTTCATGCAAATATAGACCTCTCTGAGGGCAAACTGCACCAGACTACATCTTTCTTTGCCCAACCTCTTATACCCATGAGAAAGGATACTTTTATTGGGAGCTGACTGAGGCTGGCATCAGGTAAACCAGGACAGTGAAAACTCACTGTAGCTTTTAAGAATAACTTTAGAATGGCCATTTGAGAGGGTACGGAGGAATGAGCTTGGGAATTGTCCAACATTTGAGGGAAAAAATAATAAACAGAAAAATTAGAATTATATATCTGGAGGGGGAAGTCCACTGTATTGTTGTTTTTAACCCTCTTGCTTTCTACACCAAAGGCTAGTGTTTGTTTAATGGCTTGAATAGGAATCCTTAATGTCAAGAGTCCAATAAAGATGTATCTCTACCAAGGCTGATGGACTGGTAGAGTGGAAACAGCATTGTTTGGGGAGTTTACAGGTGTTCGTTCAAGATTCAAAACATTACTAAAGTGATGCCAAGGCTTAGCTCTAGTCACTTTCTCTGGCTGAGCCTCAGTGTCTCCTTTTTTATGTGAGAGGGTTGTCCTGCTGAAGTGATTTCCTTATCTGAGCAGAGTTAGATATTACTTTGAGAAGGAGAATGGTGTGTTAAATGACTTCTTCCTCCACCATAAGCTTTAACACGGAAATATGAAAGGTTTGGGATGTGGGGAAGCCTCCTGAATCATTTTCTGACTTGCCCTTTAACCTGAACCTGTTTGCTGGCTCCTGGTTCACTCACAGGCCACATGGCCAAGAACAAAATGCAACAGATTGCAAACAATGAGGGGGGTGGGGAGAGTGACTGACAGTCCAGCTCAGCCAATCGGAGTTAGGGGCTGGTTAAAACAGCATTCCAAACACAGCTTAGCCAGCCAATGGCAGGCTTTGGGGCCAGGAGGGCTGAATGGTCAGGTTTTATTAATGGAGAAATAATGCGATTGTCCACACAATGGAAGCCTTCGTGACAAAGGGGCTTTAGCATCCTGATATGCAAAAGAGGCTAAGAACTGAGCTCTTCTGTTGTCAGGCTGAACTGCATTAAGGTGGCCTTCTATGTGGGGCCTGCAGAATGTGTGGAGCAGGAATGTTTTCTCCCATTTGGTTGGGGCCAGGAAATGGTGGGGGCAGATCCAGGTGTCTCTGCAGGTCCTCTGGTGCTTTGGTCCTTGTAGCAGGACATTCTCCTGCTGCTCAGTTTCTGCTTGTGGCACAAGTAGCTTAGAATTAATTGCTTGTATCTTTGTGACGTTCCAATAGCGTTCACAGACCTGTGATTACCAATCTAACCCTCTCTGGTCCAGGGAAGGGGGTGGGGCAGTCGACCTATAAATGATGGATGAATTTAGAAATCCATTGAACCCAGGAGCAAAATACTCCTAAGGGAAACCCTGTCCCTCCCCTCTGTGGGTGAGCCGGGATGCGTTGTAGCCCTCCCTTCTCTGAATCTTCAGCTGAAAGGGATGGCAGAATAGAGAGGTGGGGGAATAATAGGATTTATAACTTGTGAAAAGTAACAATTCCCCAAGTGCAGGCTGTGCTGGGCAGGAACAAAGGGCAGCTCTGCCCACAGACCCTTCATTTACAATTCTGATGGGGCATGAAAGAGCCCGACTGGGGAAGATCTTTATAGCTAAACTTTGTCCCAGGCCGGTAGCTCTTTTCTCTCCATCCCCTCAGTGGGGGAGGGTAGATCCTGTGCAGACTGGGGGCTGTTGGCTTGCATTTGCCTTTTGTTCTTATCTAAGCCTTGCTGTGCAAAAGGAAATTAGAGAATACTTTCCTTCTTGCTTATTTCCCTTCCTTTCCTTTACACTGCTCTTACCCGATTGCAAATATATCAACCTAGCATTTCCTCACTTCAATGTATTTATATCTAAATTGGGAAAAAGTCACCTGCCTTCCCAAGCTCCTGCACAGAAAGTGAAAGCTGTATGCATTTCTCACAGGATGTATTGCTCTCTCTCTTTTTGGACAGAGGGGGATGAAATAGATGTGGTGACAGTGGAGAAGAGGCAGTCCCTAGAAGTCCGGAAGCCAGTCACCATCACAGTGCGAGCAGACCCTCTGGATCCCTGCATGAAGCACTTCCACATTTCCATTCATCAGCAACAGCACAACTATGCTGCCCGTTTCCCTCCAGAAAGCTGCTCCCAAGAAGGGGCTTCAGAGAAGAAGCCCCAAGAAGAGTCTCTGGAAAGAGATGCTCCCGAGGAAAAAGAAGATCAGGTGCAAGAAGAGATTGTGAGCCCACCACCTGTATTACGTGAGGCTCCACCACCCTACCACCCCAAATCTGTCATTTCTGATTCTGAGGATATGACCAAGAGGAAGAATCACAACTTCCTGGAGCGCAAGAGGCGTAATGATCTCCGTTCACGGTTCTTGGCCCTGAGAGACCAGGTGCCTTCCCTGGCCAGCTGCTCCAAGGCCCCCAAAGTAGTGATCCTAAGCAAGGCCTTGGAATACTTGCAGAGTCTGGTGAGTACCGAGAAGAGGATGATCACGGAGAAAAGGCAGCTCCGATGCCAGCAACAGCAATTGCAGAAAAGAATCGCTTACCTCAGTGGCTATTAAGTGACCAAAAAAATCGGACTGCTCTCTGTCTTATGAAAACACAAGTTTATTTTGAATCCCTTCCCCTCTCCCTTAGTAATTTGCACATTTTGTTTACGGTGGGACAGTCTGGACAATAGATCCCAGAATGCATTGCAGCCAGCGCACACAATAAGGGCTTGCATTCTTGGAAACCTTGAAACCTGGCTCCCTCGCTCTCTTCCCTGACTGGTTGGAATGCTGTCTTCTCTGGCGCCTTTGGCTTCGCAGGCAGGCAGCTGACTGTGGAGCCTTGGGGTCTGCCTAGCTCACTAGCTCAGAAAAAAAAAACCTGACAGATGCTATGCAACAGGTGGTGGACGTTGTCGGGGGGCTCTGGCCTGCATGAAATCTCACACTCTGGGTGAGCTTAAGGCTGGGAAAAGATGCCCCCACTGATGTCTCTGGGGTGATGCTAGGACAGCTGGGCCTGGATGTTCTTCCCGAGGCTCCTTTTTCCAGGAGACACATGAGCTGTCTTAGATGGAGACAAGCTTGCAGACTTGATCAACATGGACCATTACCTCACTGTCAAGACACTTTATAGTAGCTGAGGGGTTGGTAAACCTTTTAGATAAATTGGTGTACATATAAACCTTTTATATATACGAAAAATGTTAGATGACGCCCCTCCTCCTTCCACTCTCAACGCTGCAACCTTGAGAACTTTGAAAGACTTGTTGTCTCAGAGCCCTCTGGGCCCTATCCTCTGAAGGAGGGGCCATATTGTCCTCATAAGGGACTTTTGGGGTTCAGTCTACCTTTTTTTATGCAATGGACTCTACAGCACCTCTTTCCATAGGTCAGAAAGATTTCCCCAAGATATAGTGAAGTTGGTCCTAGCCTGGGGCCCATTAGCTTCTTCCCTGCCCAGGTATTTTCCAAGAAGTCCTTGAGGCTCCTGTTGGAATCTTTTCTTTAGGCAGGTATAAGGCATCTCAGAAGGGAGACTGCCTCTTTTCCACCTCCCTTTCATTTCAATTCCTGATCGATAAGTTTGAAGTTCTATGGAACCATGCAAAGCTAACCTCATGGAACCACATCCAAGGACTGGGTTGACTCTGCAGTCACCCTTGGTCCCCTACCAGTTGGATTCCTTTCCCAGAATCTGCGCCTTACTGTAGTTCTGGGGAGAGCCATTGGGACTCACCTGGTGGAGCCAGTACTACAGAAGATAGACTTGCTTTTTGGTGGGGTTTAAAAGAGCCTCCAGTAGCTCTGCTTAGTCTAACTCTGAGAGATTTTGCCTAGCTACACTCTGCAGCTCCAGCATGGGAAAAGCACCCAACCCAATAGGTATCATCCAGGCAACCTCAGGAGTCCCCAGGTCCAGTCTGGAAGAAGAAGCAGCCCCTCTAGAACTCTGCCCAGTGCAGCAGGTGCCTGCTGGCTGTAGGGATAGAAATGAGGATAGGGGTCAGGTGGGGTGTGGCTGGACTCTGGAAAACCTGCTTCTCCCAAACATAGATGGTCTGTTTCTGAGGTTGCTTCCTGACCTCCGCGAACCCCAGTGGAAGTTTGCAAATAGTTTTTTCTACCATCTGGAGCATAGTTTTCTGGAACCAACTGACTTCTGGAACTGTCTTTGGAGGACAGGTGGGATGTAGGTTACTGATGTCTCATCTGGAAAGCTTGTGTTTTATAAGCTGCTGTTAGGTATTATCTGGGGGCAGTCTTTTTTTTTTTTTAATACTGTATTTTTGTATGACTTTTGCAAAGTGGTATTAATTAATTGTTTTTGTACAAGAAAAAAAAATCTTGGGTAATTCTCTTATTGCAATGGTCTGATTTATTTTGAAAGGCAAGTTTACCTGAAATTTTATACTTAGTTGTGATTATCAATTGATTTTAAAACGTTGCCTTCTGGGACATTTTCTTCCAATAAAGATTTTCTCAATCATGTCACAGTGAATGTCATCTGTATCCCCTGAACCAGGGTGATCTATTTCAGGGTAGCCACAAGTGATCTACAAGACTGCATTTCTTTAACTATGTTGCTAACCTGGTCATTCCACTTTGGGTTCCTGAAATGCCATTTCAGACATGTCTAAACAATGTAGGCTCAGTACTTGGTGCACGTGAAATTCTCTTGTAAATTGCAGAGTGCTAAATTTGGACTTTAGGAAACTTGAAAACCCAGCTCTACCACTTAATTATTTTGTAGCCTTTTAGCTTTACTTTTCTTGGCCCCTAGTATCCTTATCCATAAAATGGGGATAAATGCTACCTCACGGGGTGGGGGTTGCAGATACCACATGAAATAATAGGCTTGAAACTGCTTTTGAAACTACAAAGCCTTATTTTCTTTAGCGTGGTAGTGTCCTTAGAGGGGTGGCGCAGTGAGTTAAGTACTGCTAACTGAAAAAAGGTTAGCAGTTTGAATCCATGGGCGAAAGATGAGGCAATCTGCTTCTGTCCACCCTACGTGGTCGCTGTTGGTCGAAACTGACTTGATGGCAGTGGCTGAGGTTGGTTCTCATCTTAGTGATATGATGACCCTTTACAGGATGTCTTTCAAAAATTTGTGAGAATTTGTGATGCAACATGATTTTTCTAACAGAAAGGTAATTAATTTTATTTCTCTGCAATAATAAAAGAAAATCAAGCTCTTGTTTCCTCTCCTGTTTCTCACAAACCTGCTGTGAATGTCAGCAGGGAGCATTTAACAATAGCTAGTGGTTACAAATCAGCCTGCTAACCTCAGGGTCAGCAGTTCGAAACTACCAGTGGTACCACGGGAGAAAGATGAGGCTTTCTGCCCCTGTAAAGATTTACAGCCTTGGAAACCCTATGCAGGGTTGATATGAGTCGGAACCGACTCCATGGCACATAACAACCACAACCACCATTCCTGATTGGGGGGGGGGGTGTCCCTTGGTAGTGCAAATTGGTTAACACACTTGGCTGCTAACTGTAAGGTTGGAGGTTTGAGTTCATCCAGAGGCACCTCGGAAGAAAAGGCTGACCATCTACTTCTGAAAAAAACCAATGAAAACCATATGGGGCTGCCATGAGGAGGAGTCAACTTCATAGCAACTGGTTTAGTTTCTATGGTTCCTGATGGAGCACTGCCTACATGGAACTACTGTGCTTGTTCCTTTATATTATGCCAAACAACGTTATGCCAGGGCTTGTTGTTGTTGTTGTTGTTAAGTGCCGTCGAGTCGGGTCCGACCCATAGCGACCCTGTACAGGGTTTCCGAGGGTGTAAATCTTTACGGGAGTAGAAAGCCTCATCTTTCTCCCGCGGAGCGGCTGGTAGTTTCGAACCGCTGACCCTAAGGTTCGCAGCCCGATTCGTAACCACTACGCTACCAGAGCTCCTTTATGCCAGGGCTACAGATGAGGAAATCCAGGTTCTAAGAGTGAAACACTGCCCAGGGTCCCACAGCTAGCAAGTAAATGAATTGGGATTGGAAACCAGCTCTGCCTGTCTCTTGGGTCACAGGTTAACCACTGCATTATAATGGTCAGCGTGTTTTGTTAGCATGGGGTGTGCAGAGGAGGTCAATGAGATTCCATCATTTTAACTGTTGGAATTCTCTCTTCTTGAGGCCACTGGGCCTGACATTTGTTGGGATGAACTGGAGCAAATATTCCATGATCAACCTCTCTGCAATATATGTGGGGTGGATGGAATAGCCTTACCACAAAGAGGCCCCTCCTGGGACTGTGCAAGGAAAACAGTTGCTGTTCAGAAAGCCTATGAGAATCAGTTCTAGAGAAGTCACTTTGCTACTGCTATACCACTCTATGCTGGGACCCTGGTGGTCGATATTGCCTGCCTGCACTCCTACAGAGCCTGAGTAGGGTCATCTCACACACACACATACACAAATTGCCGTCAAATCAATGCCAACTCAGCAATCCTATCGAGCAAAATAGAACTGCTCCATAGGGTTTCTGAAGCGATACATCTTTACAGAAGCAGACTGCCTCATCTTTCTCCTGAGGAGTGACTGTTGGGTTTGAACCACCATTGATCTTTTCATTAGCAGCCCAATGTTTAGCACCCCTTAGGGACATCAGCTATTCTTAATTCCTCACATTAATAAGCAACCCTCTTAATGACTTTCACCATCACCTGTAAGCATTGTCAGCCATATGGTACCTGAACTCAGCAAGGTTGCTCTTGTTCAAGGTCATACGGCAAGACAGGATTCCAAGTCCAGTCTTCCATAAGGTAAAATGTTCCACTACTCTGTGGTCATCAAACCCAGCTCATTGGTTGGTAAGTAAAACAGACTTGGGTTACTGAAACAGTGGAAACTCACTTTCCGTCTTTTACTTATATCAGAGGTGGGGAACGTCCAGTCTGTGGGACATATGTTGTTGTTTAGTGCTGCTGAGTCAGTTCTGACTCATAGTGATCCTGTATAAGGTTTCTGAGGAGTGGCCGGTGAGATTGAACCTGTGGCCTTGTGGTTCAAACCGACCTTGCAGTCTAGCACATTAACCCACAACACCCGCAAAATCATTTGGTCTGGCCCTGCCAATGCAACAATTATTCCAGCCATCACGTCGTTGTTGTTGTTAGGTGCCATTGAGTCGGAATACTGCCCAGTCCTGGGCCAACCTCACAAATGTTGCCACGCTTGAGCTCATTGATGCTGACACTTTGCCAATCCATCTTTTTCTTCCTCTTTTTCTCTGACCCTCCAGCTTACCAAACATGATATCCTTCTCCAGCGACCGGTCCATCACATTTGTTGTTATGTACATGGAGTCAGTTCGGACTCATAGCAACCCTGCATAGGATTTCTGAGACTAAATCTTTACGGGAGCAGAAAGCCTCATCTTTCTCCCGTGGAACAGCTGGTAGTTTTGAACTGCTGACCATGAGATTAGCAGCCTGACTCGTAACCACTATGCTACCAGAGCTCCTTGGTCCATCACCTTAGGGGTGAGTTAATGAAATGTTTCACCAAATATAGCAGGCTAATTTTTAAGTTGATAATTTTGTATGGCCCGTGAATGATGTTATAAATTTTAGCAGAAAAAAGGTTCCCCATCCCTTGTGTGACACTGTTGGATAATACACTGGACTGACCACAAGGCCGTTTGAACCGCAAGGTCGGTGGTTCAAACTCACCAGTCACTCCTCGGAAACCCTATACAGGGTCGCTATGAGTTGGAACCAACTAGCTGGCACTTAACACCACCACCCCTGAGTTATATCCACCCTGTTTCCATTGTATTATCCCTCCCTGCCCCCCTTCTTGAGGCCATTTGTTATGAGATGAAGTTGTAAAACTTCTCACCTTACTGGATACTGAGAATTCTGGGCACTTAATAAAATGGAAGCTGCTCCTGGTACAGGCACTAATGCCAGCTGTTTTACATACCTTAATTCTCACAATAATCTTGGAAGTAGAGTGGTATCGGCCCCATTTAACAGATGAGCACACTGAAGCTCAGGGACAATGAAGTCATTTTGTCTAAACCCACTCAGCTAGTT